AGAAAATGTGAAGAATGATGGAGAAATGAGTGTTTTATTTATAGAAAACACAATTGCACGTAGTAGCCATCTCAGATGGCGCCTCTTCCTCTTTTTATGGTGCATGCGCCACCTCACATAGTGTGATCGGTGGATCTGGAACTGACTGTTTAACGCTGGTTCGCGAAATGTCGCGGAAGCAAGAGTCGCCACCGTCTTTTATTTTCTCCAAATGGAAAGGACAAAAGCACAGAAAAATTCCTTAAAGAGATTGCTCTCGGTTCGGGAGGTAGATTATAGAAAGGGAAGGTGTTAGCACCCTTTCTATCCATGGTTATCCATGGGCTCTTAGGTACTTGCTCATTTGTGTTTTCAAAATTGTTTGTTTGCTTTTCAATGTGGGTTTAAAAAGTTTCTTTGAAAAAATTCAGTTCGACTCGTACGTCAGAGTGTTTGAAAAATTTGCTTTGAAAGCTTTTGAAAAGTGTTGGTGTGAAAAGATTTCAGTTTGTTTTGAAGAGAGCAAGTATCCATGAGTCGTCTACCTACCCTAAGGAATTCGTCTATGTAAATGTCCTTTAAAGTAGTGCCATCCCACTATTGAGAGGTAGGTAGCACCACCGTTGGAGGTGTTCAGGTCAATTCGAGGTTCGGGACATGGTGATCACCAGAGCAATGGGAGGACACCTTAGAAGCTACCCTCATGCCAGGTTCCCGGATCATGAGAACTTACTAAGACATCCTCTACTCGACGACCACCTTTCGAGGCAAGGCAACAGTGAGGCGTACCCTAGGGGTGGTGTGTGCGATTCGTGTGTCGTTTTCATTGATATTTGTCTTGTCATGTTCATTAGTGTTCTACGCTTGTTTTTATTTTAAGTCCATACATTCTTTCATGCTTTTGTTAACAGTTAAAAGTTGCGGGAAAAGTAAATCTAAGACTATTACAAATGGCGCGGGTCCACATCGCCAAAATTAAACCGGACCCGATTTGACAAGAAAATAAAGAAATTAAATAAAAGTGCGAAAAGTATAATTGTTACAACGCTTTGGGAGAATTACATAATTATAATAAACGACATAAAATAAATGCGCGAAAATAAATTACGAACATGGGCGTTGGACCCTTTTGCGAAATATTATTAATAAGGAATTAAAATTAAGAATTAAAAGAAAATGTTTTTTAGTATTTTTGTGTTTTTTGAGATTTAATAAAAAAAAAGAATTAATTAAAAACCAAAATGAAATGTTAAACCTAGTTCTAATTATTTTTAAGTTTATTATGAAAGTATTAAAATTTAACCTAAATGCAACCCTAATTAGTTTACAAGTTTAATTATGAAAATAAATAAATCACTAATATTATGGCAAAAAAAAAGGAAAATTAAAAGGAATAAAAAGTCATTAACCTAATGCTATATTTTTGGATTTTTTTATGGAAGAAAGAATTAAAGTTGCAACCTAAATTAATACTAAGTTAATTTACATACAATTTATTTATGAAAATAACTAAAATAAAATAAATATTATATTGTTCTCTTTTTCTGATTTTTGTGTATTTTATAATTTGTAAAGAAATAGTAATTAGTTTAAACAAATAAAAAAAATAAGAATTAAAAATAAAACAAGAAAAATATAGAGAAAGCAAACCAGGGGGTTCAGGCCCTAAAGTGGAGGTGTGGCCCAGCAATCTAGCCCAATTGATTTTGGAATTTGTTGACTTTCCCAGGCCACGTATGGGACCTTTGACTGAGGCTTATGGTACACCTCTGAACATGGCTTTCTGATTGATCCTCTTAGGCACGTGGACGTCTTGATGGTGGTGATGTACCATGCGCTCCACCTTTGAAATTGCACAGGAAGACGTTTGGAAAAATAATATTGAAATTATGCAAGACCTGGGACTTGAACCCAGGTCGTGAGGGTTACCAGTTAACACCTGTACCGCTGCACCACTATCACACATTCGTTAATTAAATAAACAACAAATATAATGAAAGCAAACAATGTGTTAGTGACTGAAACGCGCGAAATTCAAAAACAACGTATCACATGTTGCCACGCTTCATCGTCTCCACCACCCTGAAAAACAAACAACATAAGCAACGGTTTCTTAAGCGTGGTTTTAGGGGGCTTTTGGAAAAATAGCGATTACGCCTCAGGGCTCTATAAATTGAGCGCGAACATTCATTCTTCTTCGTCCAAGCTTGCTGATTTGAATGGTCATGGTTTCGTGGGCTAATTTTGCTTGGTTTCAGAAGCCCTAAATTCAAGCTTGGAAAACCCTAAAGATTGATCATGGTGAAATCACATATATGGCATAAAAACGAAATTAATCATGTCAGTTAGCTTGGAAATTTGACAAGGAACAAGAATCAACAATTAAATTGCATAAAAAGTGCCTAGAACATGATATGCGTTTATGAGTTTTTTGCTGTACAGTCGAAGGTTTTGTTACCAATTCCTTGCGTTTGAGTTGGTGTTAGGGGTTGGAATCTGTTCAGGAGACCACAAGGAAGCTTTTGGAAAAGGAATTAAGACTTGAATCCACCTCGAACACTGATTTCAGTTTTGAGTTTTATGGAGAATTTTTCCAAGTTGGCAATGGTGTTTGGGCGCAGCATTTTTGTGTCTGGTCCTTAGGTTTTGACTCAGTACTTATGAGGGAAGGGAATTAGGTCATTAGTTGGCCTTGATCCATGCCCATGAGAGAATTAGTCTTAGGTCTTTCACCATTAACAAACTTTCCCTTTTTTTTGCAAAACCAAGACTTGGTGTACAACCTAACCCTAGCATGAGTTTGTGAGCTGGCACATGATATATGGAAGCTATTCCAATTCAAATGACACTATTCCATTGATTTTTAAATTTTATTTGAATTTTTAAAGATTTAAAATGAATTAAATTATCAAAAATTAAATAAAATAGAAAAATCAATGTTTGATCTTGAAATTAATCATGGGACACGTGTGTGGCATGACAAGGCTGAATCAAGTGGAAGAAAGTGGGCCCTTTTGTCAAAAATGGAAGTTTCAAGGATAGTTGACTTTTGCCATTTCACAAAATTTTCCCAACTTCTACAAGGCATAACTTGCTCAATTTTTAAGCTTTTCTCATGTTCTTGGACATTTTGGAAAGGTCTTTGAGTCCTTTAACCAATGCCTTTGGTCCCATGTCATTTTGATTTTCCAATCTCAAATTATGGCCTTTGACTTAAAGTCCCTTTTTGTTGACTTTTGAAAATGACCTATAATGTTGAAATTGATAACTTTTTGTGAGAGCATTTCTTGGACTTGAAGTATGAAGATGAGTTGTAGGAAATGTCTTTCTCTTCAAAATGAGCTTTGGATGGAATTTTTCTAATAATCCATGTGAAAGTTATACCCTGGTCAATTTCAGTTGACTTTTTCAGCTGTCCAAATAAGGAAACTTTTGCATCTTGATGATTTTCTGAGCCAAATTTTGAGAATCATGATCAAGCATTGATCAAATGATGTTTGTGGCTTCAAAATGATATGTTGACCAAAAATTTGAACTTTTGACTGCCAAATGACCATTTTGCCCCTACAGTTGACTGTAGTGCAATTTAGGGTTTTGACTGTGCAATTTTAAGCTGAATGCCTTGAAACTTGATATGAGGATGCTTGACCATATTTGTAGGCATGTGAGACTTGATTGGGCCTTTGAAAACTACCTTTTCTTGGTCAGACTCAAAACCCTAATTTTGACTGTTTAGGAGGCCCTTGCACTGTGCAACCCTTGGAGAATTTTGTGACTTGGCTTGGCAATTTCTTGAAGAATATGGGAGGGCAAATTTTGGGGTATAACACATAGCTAAAACAAAGTGCATGCGCCAAGTGAGATGACGCTAAGGACAAAAAGATTATTGCATACGCTAAGTGAGATGACACCTCTATTGTTATATATTTTGAAACATAATTATTTGCGTAATTTTCTCCGAAGCATGATTATTTGTATTATTTTTTTTAATACCTGATTATTGATAAAAAAAATTTCTAATTTTGAACTTCAAATATTTTTTAATGTTAGTACGTGATAAGCATTTAATTTTTCCATCTTAATATTTATAGCATGTTTGGTTTCATGTTAAGCTTGGTGGACGTACAAGTCATTTCTAACCTGATAATACAAAGCTAAAAATCTTAGCTTTTGATAGACCTACGTCTTGAGGAGTCTTTGACGCCAAAACAAACTATTATAATTTGTTTTTAAAAAAAATTAATCTACTAATAATCTATATCACTATACTTTTTATTTTGTTTAATTATATGCTATTTTATTTTAAATTATTCTTTACAGAGATAAATTAGTAATTTATTTATATTTTACTACAGTGGTTCTATATTAGAGTGATATGATATGATAATTGTGAATGATAGATACTAGTACTATTTTGTCAATAATCACAAGATTGAAAAAGACATATCATGTCTTCTGCACCAAAAAATACAAAAAGTTTGAAGATCTCCTTAGTAAAGTTGTCATATGAGCACAGCTCTTACTCTTAGATAAGAAAAAATCAAGTTTATATTATATTATAGATTCTCTCAAGTCTCAACATAGGTGAATACCATGAAACAAAGCCATCACATCTGTGTAAAGAACAGTAGACAGACTGGCAAATAAAAGGCTGACAGCTTAATCATGACAAGTCCTTCAAAGAAACTACTAAAATATATAATTGTAGGACTCAAAATGTTACTTTATCCAAACAAATCATCTAAAAGAAATCCTTCCTATTGATTCAATTCAAGAAAAGAGCTATAACAACCAAAGCAAATTTATTTTCAAATTTAACTGATATTTCATTGAAAACAGGTTGAAGTACATCTATAGGTAAGCATCTAGATTGAGCTATACATTTTTTAACATTTAATTAACCAAGAAAGGGTAACCATGAAACAATGTTTCTTTTTCCCCTGCTTATGTCTTTTCTATATGATGTTGGTGAAGCTCACTTTCCCTCAACCACAAAGAATTTAACTTCTCCCAAGTATCAATCACTCAAATTTTTGCACTGGAGTAGTAAACTTCAGCTCATAAGCAGCTTGAAAGCAATCTGCTGCTTGTTGTAATGAACCTTCCATTTTCGAAACCATTCCGAGATGGAACCAGGCGTCGTGGTTTGTAGGTTCCAATCGCAAAGCATTCATTAAAAAGCTTTTTGCCATTGGAAATGATTGCATACCAAGTTTAATCAACAACTCGGCAGTTGAAATGATACTCAGAACATAATCAGGTTCTATTGACAATGAGATTGAGAATGAAACAAAGGCTTCCTTGTATAATGATTGTGCTTCAAACAACTTCCCTGCCCATGCCATAATCGCGAATTTTCATATTAGTGATTTGTTCATGCATGGTGTTACCATTACCAATGGTCAAAATGACATTAGGCTGAAACGTTCGGCTTTTCATCAATAAAAAAGACAAACAAGCAGGTTTCAGATTCCATACCTGTAGTATGCCAACTTCTGGGAGAGAAAAACTCGAGCAATTTAGCTTTGTCAACACAAGCTTTTGCATCAAGAAAGGAATTAACATCGGTATAAATGGTTGCTAAATCCTGCCATGCTTCCCTTTCCAACTTCCGTTCCGTTAATGCCTGCCAAGATATGAAAAGCAATGGAAATTCTTCTTAATAATTCAAAATTGTCCATAACTACAATAAATAAAAACTATTGCACATAATAATGTAGAGGATTTAGATTTAATTAACTAGTTTTAACGCAAAATGATGTTTCCTCAAAAGTAACTAACACACCTCATCCCTGAATACTTTCGCTTGATCAAACCCGAAATTCTTAGCTTGAAGTGAAAGCTCCTTCCTGGCTTCTATTACTGCTAACAAGACTTTGTAGGTCTCTATAGCTTGCTTTGGTTGTTTCTGAGAAATTTGAAGTACAGCTTTAAGTCTTAGTAGCTCTAACTGATCCACACTCCCGGCATCGTCTAAAGCAAAATCAACTATAGTTTCGGCATCCTTAAGCCTCTTCTGTGCAGATACTATGAGAGCTAACAACTGCCAACCTCTTGCAGAGCTACCAACCGTCATGTCTGAGTACTTCATTATATTGTGATAAGCCGCATCTAGATTCCTCTGAATCGCATTTTCGAGTCCAAGGCTGAAAATCACTTCTGCATTCCCGTCTCCAGTTAGAGCAGCTGCATTTAGAAAGCTCAAAGACTCTTTTTGAAAAGTAACTCTTTCAGAATCCACTACAGATTTTCTAGCTGCTGCCCCATAACAAACACCGAGAATTTGTTGGCCTTGAACTATAAAATGCTCATTTTGATGCTTGGCTAGATCAATAACTTGTTGTGAAAGTTTGACGCCTTCATGAGCATGATTTGGATATTGGGAACACAGTTTTGCACCAAACAAATATGAAGCAAAATGAGGTATATGCTTTGATTCAGAATTACCACAAACCTTCCGCAAAAGGTTCAAGGCTGCTTCGTTGTTTCCTGCTGCACTATAACAAAGAGCAAGAAAATACCACCTCTCGGCTCGACTGAAGATACCTGGTAGGATCTGCTCTACACAATCTGCCAATGATTCAAACATCCCAGTAATTGAAAGCGAAAATGTAAGATGATCAATTATTTCAGCATCCCAATCTATTGTCTGAAGTGCCATCATTCGTGATAGTATCAATAACAAAAGTATCGCTTCTTCGATGTTACTCATTGGTGTTGTTGGACCATTCACTTGTAAGTGAGATGGTAGGTTTACTTCAACACCACCGTAGAGTAATGTGGTAGCTAAATCCTTTTGTAGACAGGCCAACCTCCTCGGGTCCAAATTCCATGGCTTGACCAGTGCACGCCGATAAGCAGTGACAGCTTCGTCTAGAAAACCTGCTTTGATCCAAAGATTTGGAAGCAACTCCAATGCTTTGTGGAACATTTCCTGCAACTTACAAACTTCACCGATACCTTCGGGCATTCCATAAGGAAGTGCTGATTCAATTGTATCCACAATTATTCGGCATTCCTTCCCAGCCTCTGGTAGATAAGAATGCATCACTGATTAGAGTTTATAGCCTTGAGTGCAAAAACACATAAGTAGTAGCATTTATAAAGATTTATGAATATGCTCTGATCCTAACATAGAGAATTGTTCAAGATTCACTTCATTAAAGAACAAAATTTTCAATAAATGCAGCTTTTAATAAGAGGCTGTTGCAACAATGTAGATTATGGGTAAACTTGTAAAAGAGATTATGATCAGGGTTTCAAATTGGATGCAACATCACATGACGCAACCACAATGTTGCGGCAATATCTGTAAGCACATCAGGCCTCAGTTGTGGTGTGATTGTAAATCACAATAGCCTTGCAACTGCCGCAAAGTAGTGAGTGCAACAGCCGCATCACACAGCAAAAACACGGACAATGTAGTAGCATTAATAGGCATTTACGAATATGCGTTGACAATAACACGGAGAATTGTTCAAGTCCAAGACTTCATCTTTGAATTGCAGCTTTTAACAAAAGCATTCTCAATCTAGGAGCACAACAATGTAGATTATGGACGAAAAGAGATAATGATTATATGGCGGTAATACCTTCGTGTCGCTCAAGTTTCTCTAAGGATTTGGCTTTAAGCAAAATTGCTTCAAGAAGCAGGCTTACTGAATGCATTGACATCAGATTAGGAAGCACGGTACCCGCCTTGGAACGAGGTTTTCTTTGCTTGTTTCTTTCAGCTATAGCCCTGATCATCCTTGGGGTCAAAGAACCAATATCAATACCCTGAAGCACTTGAAGGGAAGCATCAAAGTTCCCTCTTTGATATTCAAGCCTCCCCAACAAAGCTCTAGCTTCCTTAAAATTCATCAAAAAATATAGTAGAAATAACATCAAAACACCGTCACTAGTCCAATTAATATTAGGAATAAATAGCCATAAGCTATTTTTACTAACAGCTTCATATATAAAGAAAAAAACACATTAGGGCATGTTGGTGTTTCCTATTTTTCATTTCCATTGATAAAATAAACATTAGAGAAGATATTATCAAAGTTTTGAAAATGCATTTTGAAAATTTGAAAAAAAGTTCAAAATATTATTCATTGTTTCCAAAAACACATTCAATCTATGTTTGGTTTTACGGTTGGAGCACTTAGAATTGATTTCGAATAACATGATTTTGCTTTTCAAAATTGATTTTACTTAAAGTTAGGATTGGTAACTTTGAGTCTCAAGGTGATTTTTATACTTAAATTTATCCAAACATAAAACACTTTACCTTCAACTCACTTATTTTAGCCAGAATCAATTCAATTCACTCAGAATCAATTTTTTTCACCATATAACCAAACACGCGCCTAGTTAGGTAATTCACTTCATTCTTATCTCTATCACAATTATAAAGAAAAATTGATAACCAAATAGCCAAGCACAAAGTAATAATTGAAAATATTGTTAGAAACCAAACAAACTCATAATTTCTACCTCATAGTTCAATGAGAGAGCTTCTTTCAAAGTAGATTCAACATCTTCAACTTGATTTTCATTGAACTTAGATTCCCAATCTCCAGTCCTTGAAGACAATCCACTAGCAGAGAAATCCCTCGTTGCTAATGAATCAGGTGATTGTGGCACCTCTTCAAATTTGTGCTGCTCTCCAGAACAAGCACACAACATCTTCCAAAAAGCAAAATGTCCAAAAGCTATAGATAGATCTTTCCTTTTGAAAATCACTTCTCAACAAAAATCACTTCACAAAGGATCACAACAAAATCAATTAATAAAAAATCAATCAAAATAACTGTAATGTACTAAAGCAACATTGAAAATTCAAATTATATCAAGAAATGGTGAATTAGGGATCAAAAAGTAGCTTTTAGAACATTGAAGAGAAATTCACAATGCAAATAAAAAAAAAACACGGGTGAGGAAAAAAGGGGATTATGGAGAAACGGCAATGGGAACGGAGCATTGGATTTACCGCAACACAGATTCCAAAAATTAGGACTTTTTTGCAGTCTTCAACACACCATGATAGCTACCCTTCTCATCAACTTTCTGTTTCTCTGTCTTAATATTTTCAAATTTCCTCTTTAATTATTCATCTATTTTATAGACCACCTAAATAAAGTAAAAAGTGATTTTATAAATAAAGAATAATCACTTTTTTTAATCATAAATTTCAACTAGAAAGAAAACATAATTTTATTCAAACTGTGTTTCTTTTTATTTTAATTCTAATGTGTTATTTTGATCCTAATTTTGCAGATTCGTCACATCTAATTTATTTAGAACGTTAAATTTTGATCATTAACTATTAAATAGAAAGAACAAATAATTTAAAAAGTTAGAGTTTGAATATAAATCAAAATAAATATTTGTTAGCTTTGATTTATATCTTGGTGAAAATTTACATTATAAAAATGAAATAGTTAAGGTGTTAAAGTAATAAAATTATAAAGAACAACTATCAATTGACCAAATTTTACTTTACTTAAGAAAAAAGTCATCTATATATTTGGTTTTTTGTAAGAGTAAAAGATAATTGTAAAAACGTAAAATAGATTTTGACGTGTTTAATTTTTTAAAATATAATTGATTTTCTTTTTAGAATATAAATGTAATTTTTATATTAAAGTTTATCGTTCAACTTATTTTTTATATAGATATATTTAAACATAAATTATTTTATCATTTATTTACTTTTATATAAATATGTTTAAACATAATTTATTTAAAATTCAACTCAATTTTAACCGAAATTAATTTTATAAAATTAATTAATTTAAAATCAATTTTCATAACATAACAACACACAAAATTTCAAATTATTATATTTGACAATTGTACTAAAAAATTATATTTAATAAAATAAATAAATAAATTGCTTATATTTTACTTTATTATGTTGGTTTTAAATCCAATTTAAATTCAGAACAAATTTTTTAGGGAACAACCTCAAAATATAATAAGTTTTGAGATTAATTTAACATATAAATTATTTCATATTAAAATAATAAATTGAGATTAGATATAATTTAATTATCTTATTCTTTATTTTTCATATTAAATAAACTTTTATTTATATTGAAATTTATCTATTTATTTAGACATAATAACAAAGTTCGTATATGTGAACATTTGTCTAAACTCATTTTAAATCTGATAGAAAAATCTATTTGACTAAATTTGACATTTTTACTTATTTTAAAATATAGATATAGGATGGATAATGAAGACATTAGTGTCTACTTCAAATATGTCATGTTGATATTTAGAATGTTTAATTTTATAATTTAGAATATTAATTATTTAATAATATAATGATATTTAGTATGTATTTTATTATTTAAAATATATATATTTGAAAATTTATAAGATTATTTTAAATTATTATTTATATTGTTCGTTAGAGTTCATAAAATATTATAAGTTTGAGGAAATAAATTATTTTAATTTAAAAATATTGATTATTATGTGAGGATAGGACGGGAAAGAGATACCTAAATTTGTTTAGGACAAGTTGAGTTCAATTATTTATTTTCGTTTGAATTTTTGGTGGAGAACAAATTTAAATTTGGATATGAGAAAGATAAAATCCGTCCACACTCTACTCATTCTCATGTATATGGGCTTGTTTTGTTTTATCTTTAAAAACACTTTGAGAGTTGTGTTGCACTAGTGTTGTGCTAAAATTGTTCTCCAACCTTCTCTTGTGATATTTTGTAATAGATTTGAAGGTTGCAAATTAAACATGTAAAAAAATTGGCTTAAGGCTATTGAGTTGAACATGTGCAAAAGCTCTAGTTGTTTGGTTGTTGGGATGATCATGTGCAAAAACTCAAGTTGTTTGTGTAAGATTGTTAGGTTAATCATGTAAAAAAGCTCAAAGTGTTTAATACTGTTTGAATAATCATGTGCAAAAGCTCAAGTTAATTTTACTGGAAATCTCAAGAGAAAACTCTTGGAGACTATAGTAAGTTGTGTGGTTTAAGGTCGAATCGGGATAATTATTTCTTGCCTTATCTCTTGATAATTATTTCTTTTATATTATTTGTTTCTGTTTATCGATTCCACTACCTATTCTATATTCATATCTTCTTCTAACATAAATCATTTTAAATTACTTATTTTCATGAAAAAAAATTAAAATTTGTTTATCACATTTCACCCTTCATCCTGTGTTTCTAGTCGTTTGTTTAACAAAATATTGGTGAATGGACATTAACTCCATTGATTAAAGGTTTATTTAATTCCAATTTTGCTTCTCAACAAGATTTGTGAAGTGTATATAGTCCATTGAAATATGACATCTCAATTTAGGTGTTTTGAGACTTTCTAAATGGGTTCGTGATTTTAATATGAATTTGCAACACCAAATCATGCTTAAACATAAATTTTATTTAAGATCTTCTTTGAAATATTGGTGACACCGTATTATTTTTTAGATTAATTAAACTGTTCACACTCTAATCTTTTTAAATGAGAAGACTGGGCTCAAGATCTATGGTCATTATGCCACGGTTCTTATTGAGGTTGATCTCTCATAGAAATTTCTTAATATCCTTATGTAGAACTAGAATATGAAGCCATTTTAGGCTTTCGTAGTTATTGTAGAAATATTGGTTAACTTGTGCACGATTACAAGTGTGGTGTGAACAATGATCATGAGCAACTTGATAGAATCAATACTAGTATTCTTGAGAGCAATACAACAAATGTTCTTAAGAAATATAACATATAAAAGTAAAAAGGAAGATAGAGATACTACAATTGATTTTTATATGCAGCATGTCACACATGTAGAACATAACCATGCATAACAAAATTATGCATAACTTAATCTTGTATACCACAAGCAACTCGCTAACGATATTCTTGCGAATAAGGATATTCATGAACACTCTTCGAATGTGAACATGGACAAAAAAGACAAAAATGGATAATGAATCAGTAGATACTTTCTCTGCTGAAACAATTCAAAATTTATCTACGAATAATAGTATTCCTTTTCTCTTAATGAGAGATTTATATGCCTTAAGAAACCTGTTATTGAGGTTATACCTAGGAATGAAGAGCTTACCATAAAGTTCAAAGAGACATTGAATTGGTTATGGAAATATGGGTAGATTTTTTGAGTCAAGAGAAAATAATCAACATCAGTAATTTTACATTGGTTACTCATAGAAAAAGAAAGAGAAACAAGTTGCAAGTTGATAAGCTAGATCTTAAAGTCCTCGTTCACATGGGAAAAATTCATCAATTTGTACCTTTTGTTCTTGTTATATTTTATTCAATAAATTTGTTTTGTGTTATTGTAAAGTATTTATGTTTTCTAAGATGACAACATAGTTGAGATGTTAGGTAGTCACAATAATATTCTTGTACCTCAATGTTAAAATCAACAAAAAAAACATGCATTGACTAATCTATTTGCACATTCATTTCTATCTTTAAAAGTGTGATATATTTTGAATCTAAAAGAGCGTATAATGTGCGAAATATTATTACATTTAACTAAAAGATGCTAAGAGACAATATTCAAATTATAAATGCACGAATGGCGAACATTTAGTCAGTTTAAAGCCAAAAATTTCTCCATTTCTTCTTATTAGCATATTCAATAGCAAGCATGATTTCATGCAACTTAGCTTGAAAGGAGGTGCAAACTCCAATCTTAGATGAAAAACTCTAAAAAAAATTTAATAAAGTATATCTAAATATGCCCCCACAAGTTGATATTCTAGGATTTCTTCTTGAAATTCCATTTGTGTTGCACTTAATCTAATTATGGTTAAGAAAACACTAACTTGTATGATTCTAGGTGTGAGAGGAGATCAATATTTGATGTCAAAGCAATTAGTAATGGTAAACTCGTATCCTTCGAAAGAAGTAGACGCCTTATAAACAAATTGTTTAACATGAACAATGTCCATATCAAAGTCAATGTTACCATTTTGAAACTTGATATCATTTATTGTGTGCCAAGTTTTCAAAATAATTATTATAATGAAAGTCATGATCAAATTATGAATTGGACATCTTCGACTTCTACCAATAAGTTTGAATAATATTTCTTAACTAATTCTATCAATGTTCATGTCAATAACCGCTTCATCAAATGCCAGAAAAGTAAATATACTTGCATCTAAGAAGTAAGTGGTTTGTAATTCTCACATCATGATTGTAGAGAGAGCATATCGAAATCATATGCATTCCCCTTCAACCAGGTTGTCTTTTGTTGCAATAACATTATATATTAGTTTTCAAGTCACTAATGACTTAACAGGTAGTATGTAAGGATGTCAAATTAATGTTGTTCAAGAAGGCTCAATATGATCCTTCTTGATACAATTGTAGATATCTTTAAAAGATAGATCACCATTTACAGATCTTGTCCAAATGAATTTATCAACAGTAGTATTATCAAATGACAAATTAATCTTCAAAATATCTTCAATAATTTGAGAGGCCAAAAAGGACAATTCATTAGAAGCGTTCCAAATGATGCTTGAATAATTAAATTAACCTTAAAAATTTACATAAATTGAATATACATTAGTAATACAAGGTGTAAATCTTTAATTTTGTATCAAACCAATTGTCGGTCCATAAAACCAAAGTTCTTCCTATTAACAATTTGTCATCTATTATGTTCCTCCAGAAAAGAAAAAAAA